GAAAGAAAAAATGAGTGCCATAGAATAAGAGGAAAAGAATGCAAGAGTCGAGAGTTAGCAGTGTGACATTGGCAAAAGCATTGCGTGGCAAAGCAGTGCTGAATGAGAAGAGACCCTACAGCCACTGAAAGTCAGTCGTGTCAGAGCACAGAGCAGGAAAAACAAAACCCAAGTTAATATTCCTCAATTTCACTGGCTAAAAGAACAACCAAAATCTGCCACAAGCACATTTTCTCCTCAGCTAGTGGTGAGAAACAGTTCAGGAGAAGTGCATGGCTCTGGGCAAAGTGAATTCTATCACATTCTGAGGACCATTACATGATCAAGCAACTGCTGTAGACGCGGGGGAACGTGTCACTGAGCCCTCTGTTGTCATAATTGAGAGAGAACAAGAGTGAGAAAGAGAGGCTGGCAGTAACAGGAAATCCTGAATCATGCTGGCTTTTGATCTGCTCCATCTGCCATGGCATCATGTGAACAAACTGCGACATTCAGTCACCAAAGTTGCCAAGCAGTCAAAGATTATCATTCACAGTTGTCTATATGACGAATATCAGCAGGAGCTGAGCGATACTATTGCATTATGCATTCCAGTGTACAGAGATATCCACCTTATTTTTCAATGCGGAAGTAAGCTGTTTTCTGTGAATGTGTGAGACTTCCGGTTCATTAGCCGCTGTAGGGAAATAATGAGAAGAATTACAAAGTGCAGACCACAAACCAGTGTGTTCATAAGATAAGACATTCAAATAATATGGTAAGACACACCCGTTTGCAATATCAAGCAGCAAAACAAGCTGTTTTGTACAGCTAAAAATAGCTGGACGCGGATGAGACCAGACCCACAGAATTTACAAATGGCCTCTTATGGAAAAATAAGGTGGATACCTTACAGTACAGGAGATATTCCATGATGCATTATGGGGAGATGTGAGGATTTAGCAGTTTTATAGCATGGAATATGAAAGTGTAAGCAAGCAATGTTGAATTTGAAATATTGTCTGGGTTAATTGTCATTGTTTTTTACACTGTCAAAAAAATTTTTTGTAAATAAATGAAGAAAAAGATTATTGGAGTACGTTTTACAAGAAAACGTCAAATTAAAAAGATTTAAAAATGAAAAGAAAACAAGATTTCTTGTTCAGTCTTTTAACTTCAAAAATTCATGCTTAATTGAATGTCACTGCCATTTCTTTGCAATTAATTGTGAAATTTACTAGCAATTTCTCAGACCAATTTTTTTCAGTGTAGCCCTTGTTACCATAACTAAACAGAAAAAATATATATATAAATTAAACTATTATGTAAATTAAATAAATGACACATTTACATTATTTCCATTAAAATATAAATTTAATGTATAATAAGTAAGGTTTAATTGACGATGGGCCATTGAATTATTAGAAAATGATGCACACCCAAGGTGGTAATGTGGCCACGACATGAAGCGGAACTACTTTAGCCATGAAAAAAACATTGCACACCTTAAAATGTTCGTCAGCTAATCAGATTGAAGCATTCAACAGCCCTGTAGTACAATATAATATGATTTAATATAAAACAATATACATATATTTAATATATATAAATATTTATATTTTGTTTTTTTGTAATTTATACATTATGTTGCTTCGGGGGAAAAAAAGTCAGAACACAACTTTTTGTCTGCAGAATGTTGTTGTAATGGTATCTACCAGCAGGGCCTAACTGCTGAAGCAAAGCAGCCAAAAATAGTCCTAGATCAGAGGAAACTCCAATGTAACTGAATGGAGCTTCATGCTGCACCACTTAGAAATAAATACTTGCTTTTTATGTCTATGAATTTTCTTTCTTGGTCTAAAAGCTTTTATTAGTATTTGGGTTTAAGCTAATTCAGCTGCTTTTTGTATCTATGAATTTGCTATACACTTTCGTCTCTACAGCCATTTAAAATCATGTTTGATTTCAATGACTTTGAACTTTTGGTTTTATTCCTTCTCTCATCAGAAACGTCTGCATATAACACCAGCGCCTGTCAAAAGAAGTCAAAAGCATTTTAATAAAGATGTATCTATCCACACACACCTTCTCTATGTGCTCCAGCCTGCCATGCTCTAAAGGGAGCTAAATGGCATTTAGCTGCAGCGTGCTCTGTCTCAATTAGATTGCAGTGTCTCAATGTGCTCCGAGCGCTGAAAGCAATGCCCCCACCGCACCTCAGCACAGCATGTTTTTTTACATTCCGTTTTGCTGACATGACATCAGAACCACTAACACCTCTCTGATTCGCCGTGGGGACGTCATGACATTTATTTCTCCATTCAACACGCTCATCTCCATTTAATAACATTTCTTTCTCATTGTGTTTTCACTGGTGTCAACACTCTGTTTGGTAATACAGAACCTGGCAACAATCAACACAATCACTTGTTGCTGAGGCGACCTTGGTGGTCTTTGTCTGGAGTGGGTCTTTAAGCTGTGTGAGGTGGTCACGATGCAGGGAATTAACTCTGAAATGCTCCCAGGGAAAATAAGGTGAGAAAATAGCTCCGTTTGTTCACAGAACAAATAGGATTTTACATTCTGAAGACCTCTCAGTCTTTCAGATGATGACAGACCTAAAGGGAATTTGTGAGAATGTTGTTGAATTTGTGTCAGCCTTAAATCTTAAAAAGGTCAAACGTGAATTATATTTCATTCCTTGCAAGGCAGTGTTCCGGGTTTTCAGCCGTTTGAGGAGACCGCAGATCTCTGCTTGGCCCTGTCTTGCATGCAAATGCTCTGAGTGTATTAGGAGGTGAGCTGAAATTATTTGTCTGGATTTGTGAGGATTTGTAAGGATCTAGCATTGTGCTACTCTGGCATAGTAGCACTTCTTGGATTTATAATTAATCTGATGTATAAATGGCTTTGATTAAATCAAATGTCTGCAAAATGAATGCATTTAAATCTTATGTAATTCTTTACCTTGTTATAAAATCTACCCTTCTGCAGAGTTGATTTTCTGCTCCAGTGAAACACATGAAACAGCTAATAAATCTTTTGTGTTTGTGTGAATATTACAGAAAGTTTATTACTAACTAAACAAACTAAACCTGTGACAGAGGTAGATCTCTGAGCAATACACTGCAAGTATTTCATGTAGCAGTTGACTGACAGAATATGGCGGTGGTTTCGACAGAAAACTCATGTGATGCAAGAACACCTGGGGATGTTGTAGAGACATTTCTAACAACATATGTAGCTATGCCGCTTTCTTAAAGGGGTCATAGGATGCCCATTTTCCACAAGTTGATATGATTCTTTAGGGTCTTAATGAAAAGTCTGTAACATAGTTTGGTTAAAATTTCTCAATGGTAGTGTAAAAAACACCTTTTTTACCCTGTCAAAAACAGCTCTTTTCAGATCAAGACAGCTCACTCAGGGCGGGTCTGAGGTAAGACACCACTCTAGTCTGTGCTGAAACACTACTGTCAATCAAACTATCGTGGGAGGGGCCTGTCTGTGTGACGTCACACAGACAGGAATCTGAGATCGGCTCGATTTGAGAAAGGGGTAAACATTTAACCAGATTTAAAAAAAAACACTGGGTGGATTTTTATCATTATAGGGTGGTTGTGTACACACACTGCCAACACACATTTCAGTTCAAACCACTTGCAAAAGTGCATGTAGCATCCTATGACCCCTTTAACAAACCTTGTTTTGGGGTCTTGGATCATTCCAAAACATTGGACATTTGAGGAGCTTCCCACTAGAATAACTGGAGGGGTGCTTTAAATGCCAAGACTGTTAGACAAAATAAGAGGAAGAGTAATAGTGTGTGTGAGACAGAGAGAGAGAGATGAGGGGGAGATACACAGAAGCGAGTGAGAGGTGGGGGAGAGAAATAAATATTTGCCAGAGGGAAGATACAGAAAACAAGCTTTACAGATGCTCAGTTCAAGCCATGTTGCCATAGCAACTACTCCAAATGAGATCTTTTTTCCTAGAGGAAAGCCCCTCTCTCCTAAAGCAATACACTATCATTCCTCAGGAATCTCGGTCTATTAATGGATCTGTTGAAGATTCAGTTCAGCTGTACTGATGAAAGTTCACAAGAACAAAAGGACACTCTATTTTTTACCAGGATTGGAAAAGTGTGGATTTGAATAATGACAGTTTGGATGTGCAAGGTCAAATCGATGATTAAAACAACAGGCTCCTGAACCTTTATAATGCGTTACCACATTACAGTAATCACTAACGTTATAAAGTGCCTTATTTTTGACAAGACATTTTCAATAATTAAATAATATTATAACTAAAAAATGTTCACTGTGCCTTAAAACGTACAGTACCACATTTCCCACATTTATACTGATTTTGATCCCGAAAGAAAGAACGAGACAATAGTCATTGAAAAATGTATGGTAACACTTTACTTGAAGGGGTGTGCATAAGACTGACATGACACCTACATAATCATGACATGACACCTAAAGATGACATTGTTTGAGATGTCTTTGTTATGGGCTATGGTTAGGGGTAGGGGTAGGGTTAGGTGAAATAATGTCATATTTGCATTAAAAATGACATAACTGAGCGAATGACACTTAATGACAGTTGTCATAAACATGCATAAAACCTCCTTCATATTCATGACATGTGTCATGTCATGATTATGTAGGTGTCATGTCATGATTATGAAGGTGTCATGTCAGTCTTATGCACACCCCTTCAAGTAAAGTGTAACCAAATGTATTATAGTAGGCTAAATACTGTAAATATGTATTTGTTTTGGGTATGAAAATGTTTTAAATTACCATGTAACTTATTCAACAATATGTAGCCTACTTTTACAGCAAAATATGTCACTTAGGCTATTTCTTTATTCTCTTATATGCATTAGGGTATTTATCCTACATTTTATGGGCTTTAATTTAACGTTTACTGCATTGTTTTTATGTCATCATCTGTTGTATTCTGATGCATTATCACACAAACTACATGCATGAGCGCTTTACTGTAGCCTAGATTACCTGACTTGGGCTTGAAGGAAAGGAGGATATTGGCGGGACATCCAAAATCTTCAGGTCGTACATAACACCGTTAAGAATGACCGAGGGTCTGTGCACGTATCGCGTTTGGGTGGGGGTGTACGTCTCGGAGAAGTCACTGTAAATAAACTGACGGATGATAGAAGTTTTCCCGACTCCAGGCGCTCCGATGACGGCGATGCTCAGCGTCTCCACCATCCCGCGCCGATCAGGACTGCTGACGAACACTAGCGACCAAGAAGACGCCTGGAAAACTGCTCAACAAATCAAAACAATAAGGTGAATTGTGAGCGTGCGCCTTTTTGTGCTTAAACGCACTTCGCGGATGTTCAAATAAATACGATGCATGGATGCTTCTGATGCATTTCGCTATCTCTTTTGGTTAAGTATACCGTTAGTATCATGCGTTAATGAGTGCATCAACAAACCAACCAACTTCATTCACTGCGGCAGTTGCGCTGTCTTTTCTGCATTCCATTGGGGAACAGTCCTCAACGCTCCACAGTCAGCCCACGGTATTCCTACACGCACAGCTCTGGAGCTCAAAACCCGTCATTTTCCAGCAGCATCCATTTGGCAGCTCTCAGCATAACGTGTGCGCTTCGATCTCGAGGTTACCGTTGACCCTTTCTCCTCGTAACCTCTCATAGCTTCCCTCATAATCATCTCAGCAGTGCGTGCACCTCACCGAACGCCAAATGCAGTCTGCGCAAAGGTCCATCGTTACTCCGTAAGATTGTAGGTGGACTGTATCCGCACAGACCTCTCGTTGTCGTTGAAGCTGCACGTGAAGCAGTCTCCAGTCCGTGCTGTGCGGTTCTAAGCGCTGCTCCTCCGCGCGCCCTCATGTGATTCCTGACTGTTTTATTAGGCTTGCGCTGTTTACTGGCCATAAACAGCTCAAAAAGGTCCCTCAGAAATGACTTACATTATTGGAGGAATACAAGGTGAAAATATAAGGTAGCTGTCGTCGACTGCCTAGCTCAAACAGCTTCATAAACAAACGAAAGTATTGCTATTTAGCACGACACTGATGTACTGTTTATGATGCATAAAATTAAAGTACAAGATATCGAGTAAATAAAGTTTCAAATAAGAAATTTAAGTTACCATAGTAAAGTTAATTCGTATATTTCTTATCCGCCAAAAGAAAAAAAAAATGAAAGCCTGGAAAGGTCTGGAATCGTTTATTTGAGTGGCGCGGAGCTGAAGAGATTTCCCATTCCATTATCACTATTCCCATTCCCATCACATACGCTTCCATTCCATTCCGGGTTTTTAAATTGCCGCTCCTCGCTCACTAGCCAGAGAAACCCGCTCCATCCATCCTCAAGAGTCTCAAAAACCGCTTCTCACAATCTTACAAACCCACTAACGTTCACTAGAAGCATGCATGGATCTAGACACAAAACAGGTAACGTTGTTACCAACTTCTGCTTTTCAGATTTAATGGTCATCTGCAGGAATCGTTACAGTGTCTCTAAGTCCAGAGCTTTTAATTTCTCCAGTCTCATTTGGATAATAGAAGTGCTGGGCGAAACAGCATTGACTGTGATCTTCTCTAATGATATCTGGATTACTAACCTTGAAACACATTCATCCAATTTGTCCAATTTGATTTACAAGAAAGATTAATTGCTCTGGGTTTTTGTCCTCTCTGCAGTCCACATCTAAAATGATACATTTTCTCCCTCTATCTCCATTCTTAAACCTGATAAATAGTCGGGAGACATATGTCAGATTGTCAGTATGTGCACAACTCTACAGTAATGGCCATTAAACATCAATCATGAATGCTAGAACATCTATGTAGCTTTCAATTGCCAGGCCAAGTTCATTAGTTTGAGCAATAGATTACAACCCAAGCCCCCCATCTTCCTTGCTTAGATTGCTTGCCATCAGCTTCAAATTTGAGCTTCTGGCTTGGCATATGATTGCACTTCCACTGAATTATATGGTCGGATACACAATTGCGGCCCCTAGCTCCTTTAATACTCTACATTACTGTAATTTCATCACCACGGGACAGTCAACACAACAAAGAGGAAATTGCGCTTAAACTTGAGCTCAGCAAGGATTCATACTGTACTGAATAAAAAGGGGATATGAACATGTCCATCATAGCTTCCAAACAGAACATGCAAAAAAACCCTACCAAACAAAAATATTGCTAAAACTCTACAGAACTACTCTACACAACCAATTATGAGTAATCGCAGACTTTACCAAATGTTTTAGTGAAGGACTGGATGATGCATGCCTGCAAACCATAATTAATGGCATTTCTTGAAACCTTTGCAACCCCAGCTTAGGTAAGACAGCCTATTAGTTTCACTCAAGAAAATGTCATTAGATGAGATACAGGTTCAACTTGTGCCCGCCAGGATTTCACATTTACTATAAGGTGATATTTGGAAGTCCAGTTTAAATGAGTTAGTTTGCAGCATGGTGCCTGTTTGAGTCATATTGCCTAAGAGTATGAATGAATAAAACAATATACAAGGTGTTAGGACTGTAACTGAAGCAGACAAGAGTAGTCACTTATAGTCTTGAAGTATTAAAATATATTGACTTGCATACATTTTGCTGAGGGATTACACATTTCTGAAGCACTTTTTGGACGGTCCATGTTATGTAAGCCAAGGGTTTAGGTTTAGTTTTAATGCTTTTTATTTTAGTTTTATTTATTTTTTATTTTTATTCTCCAGGCCGGAATAATTACACTTTAAATCAACGGGTAATATACTTTTTTAATTTCTATAACAGATGCATTCATGACAGAATCCAACAAAAAGTAAAGCAAAATTCTTTGCTGCACATCTCCTTGTAGTCATCCCTACGACTAAACCCACAGAATATAACACATACAGAATCAACAAACTATGATTAAAAGAAAAACAATAATCAATATTATTTGGGAACTTCTAAGTGTACACACAACATTGTGTGTGTGCCAGGTCAGCAGTGTTTTGCCTGGTGGTATTTTACATTAAGCTTGATAGAGGTCTGTCCACCTTGTCAACATCGTTTAAAAGAAATGAAAAATTAACTACATTTCCCTGTCCTGTAAAGAACGAGAGAAGAAACCTGTTCAGTGAACAAGTTGTTTTGCAAAGCAGGAGACTTAATGTGCATCGCATTCAGTGTGATTTAAGACATATTCATACCATAAAGAATATCACTTTCTGCAGGATGATCTTTAGGAGTCTAGTCTCCCTCACAGATCCAACATTTTAACACAAACACACACACACACACACACACACACACACACACACACACTAAATTAACAACCCACCCAAATATATGGGCATGTACATAGTCATTCAGGGGAATAAGAGAGGACAGGGAATATTGCCAGGAGGAGGAACAGAGCATGCAGCATGTTACATCTCCAACTCGCACACACACACAACTGATACACAGCACACAAAAGACAGTAGTAATTAAAAATAAACCCAGCTTAATAGCAAAACATGACTGCAAACTTAGTCATCACCAAATACAGAGATATTTTGAAGACAGAGAAAAAGTTTACTCAGCAATTGTGTAGTGCTTCTGGATAAACACACAGCATTCCCTTAAAAGAAATTGCGGGAGATCTAAATGACTGAGGAATGACCAGGGAGACCTCTAATAAAACAGAACAAAAAATAAATAAAGATTTGAACTGTTTGTGTGAATACAAACCCAGCGACCCATTGTCTGATTATTAAGACTAAATTAAAAACAGCAGTGTTGAAAGGTTTCTCTCAACTGTGGTAAACACACCCTTCCTACAACTGGATGGATGAGGAATACAAGCTGGTCTAAAACTCTGAGATCATCTGTGTATGATGCTTGACCTCTATGAGGGGGAAAAACAATCACCCAGGATAAACAGTGAAGCAATCATGTAGTACAGGAATGAAATTTGCTGAGTAGAACACCTGCACATATGTGAATTAAAGATGATATCTTTATATTTTGTGTGTCGTATTTTACTGTAATTGTAATATTTTAAAGACTGCAGGATGGAAACAGGTGGGATAAAGAAGGGTGTTGGGAATGGACAAAATAATGAAGAAAAATTCCTTGGGATTCAGTCAATGCTGAAAGCACAGTCTGAGGGAAATGCAAGACAGCAGGGGTTCTTTCTCTGACTGGTCCAATCAAGTTTCAGTCACCCAAACGATGCCTGGGAACTGCAGTTTCCTGTTGGTTTCCCGCCACTTCAGCTCTTCAGCACCAACTCATAGCACTGGAACACAAACTGAGACACCTCCGGCGCTCTGCACTTTATCGACAGCTGAAACAGGAAAGAAACACAGAGAGAGAGAGAGAGAGAGAGAGAGAGAGAGAGAGAGAGTAGAATAAAATACAGACACACTGGCAAGTATCAATTTAAATTTCATAAAATTGTTAAGTGAAGATTTGAGGGCATGCTAAGAAAATTAAGACATTACAAAATGGAGAAAAAGAAGGTGAGAGAAAATAAACGCTAGTAATGCTGAAAGCCTGCCAACACACTAATACAAAATAAATCTTCTTCACTGTGCCAAGAGCACAAAATTACAAACACTGCCATGAAGAAGATCAAAACAAGCTTACACTTCATGACTAACACTTCCAATTATTAGCTGAAGAAAAGGTTCTTACATTAATTTCTAATCTGAAAGCACAACATTACTTGCACCAGGCATATATAAAATAAATTCTATAAATGTACAGTGCACCACTGCTCAAACGTTTGGGGTCAAGTAAGACCTAAAAAGAAATTAATACTTTCATTCATACATTAACTGAATCAAAAGTGACAATAAAGACATTTATAATGTTATAAAGCTGATATCAAATAAATGCTGTTCTTTTGAACTTCAAAGAAACCTTAAAAAAATGCATCATGGTTTCCACAAAATTATTACAAAGCACAACTGTTTACAATATTAATAATAAGAAATGTTTCTTGAACACCAAATGAGCACATTAGAATGATTTCAGACGGATCATGTGACACTGAAGACTGGAGTAATGGCTGCTGAAATAAATTACATTTTAAAATATGTGACCCTGGACCACAAAACCAGTCTTAAGGCGCAGGTGTATATTTGTAGCAATAGCCAAAAATACATTGTATGGGTCAAAATTATTGATTTTTCTTTTATGCCAAAAATCATTAGGATATTAAGTAAAGATCATGTTCCATCAAGATATTTTGTAAATTTCCTACCGTAAATATATTAAAACTTCATTTTTGATTAGTAATATGTATTGCTAAGAATTTTATTTAGACAACTTTAAAGGCAATTTTCTCAATATTTAGATTTTTTTGCACCCTCAGATTCCAGATTTTCAAATAGTTGTATCTCGGCCAAATATTGTCCTATCCTAACAAACCATACATCAATGGAAAGCTTATTTATTAGCTTTCAGATGATGTATAAATCTCAATTTCAAGTTTTGTGGTCCAGGGTCACATGTGTTAAAATAGAAAACAGTTCACTTAAACGGTAATATTTCACCGGATTACTGTTTTATTATATTTTGGATCAAATACATGCAGCCTTGGTGAGCATTAGATACTTCTTTCAAAAACATTATAAAAAGTCTTGCCAACCCCAAACATCTGAATGGTGTTGAATATTTCTGCCTTTACTCCTTTTTGAGAAACAATTTAAACTAACCACCTGTAGCAAATTCATAAGCAAGCTGTGTTTACTTGCTGTGAGTCACATAAAAAGCTGTTCCTCCTAAAAGGATCTCATGTGGCACTAACAGAATAATAGACAAACAAATGCAGACTAATGCCAGAGGAGCAACTGCGCTTGGAGAGGTCGACACGAGTGGAGACCTCCATCTACTGCAACACCTGCTTCCTCTTTTGTCAAGTGAGCGCTGCAGCAGACTTGAGGCTTCTCACGGACCAACCATACAGAGGATAATCAGAAAGCTTGTGTTTACTGCGCAACAGGACATCAGAAGTGCGAAAGGGAAAGAGATGAGCGTGAGGGAGAGCTCAATGGCACAATTTATCCCTCCCAAACCCAAGAGTTCTCTCTGGGCTTCTATTGGCGCTTTTCCACTGCATGGTACGGCTCGGTACGGTTCA